CATTTTGAAATACCTTGACACATTTAAAATATTTTATTAGAGAGGTAAAAATCCTATAAACTAGTTGCAAACTTGTCTTTCTCTGCTATACATTCCTCTACTGTGCCAAACATATATATTCAAAATTATGTGTTTATGTTCCCAGTGCTGGGACATCCTACAAACTGCCATAAGTGGAAACAACATAAAGTGATGGCTAAAATTCTGTATTAATGCCCAGAGAGTATCAAGTCCATGTTTCCTGCCTTGGAGCCTGTAAAATTTAAGAGGGCACTTTCTTTTTTATTGAACAGTCACTCAGCTTCTATAATTCTCAGCTGTTTATGTAACTGTAAAGTAAAGATTACCAAGGACAATAACCTCAGGGGACTAAGCACAGCTACTACCCCACTTTAAAAATTAAGCCATGGGACATATGCTAAATAATATCATAGAGCTGGTTTAAACCCATAAAAAACAAAGAAATTCCAAGCCAAGGCTGGAAATCCAGACTGACAGTCTCTCTTAACACCAGGTCTTGAGGGTGAGCGAGGCCAGTATTCCCTCACTTTTCTGGGGTGCAAACCAGATTCATACTACTATCTAATGTATTTGATGATTTAATTTCCTTTCCTATCTTCTGCAGCCCAACACTGTTTTGCTTTTAAAATAAATGTTTATGGTTACTCATTTTACAAAATGTTAACAATTTAAGACCAGATCTCCTGTGCTGAAGTTAGGGAAGATGAGATAGGCTCCAAGCCTTCCTTACACTCCCCTAACCTTCAGCTTGAAAACTGCCTTCAGTACACTGCTTTTGCATTGCTTAGCATTTGCCTTGGTACACTGTGCTGCCATTTCTGCCTTCTTGCCTCCAGCCATGCCCTCAGCCTTTGCATGAACACTGCCGCGGATGCTGTACAGCAAACACTGTGTGTAGTTCACCAGGGAACTCCCTGGTACCAGGGGAAGCTGCTTCAACCTGCTCGGGCCTCCTACTCACCTTTTTTTATTGCTGAAGTAGTTCATAGAAGCACGATCTGATCTACACTTTCTTGAAATAACACTAGCTTCTGATGGCTCTGAACTGTAAAAGGCAATGGCACACTTAAAGGAAAACATGGGTTTTGCCTATAGGCAAGGCTCTGTAAGATATACGTGTAGCCTCAAAGCCACTGCTATTTATAGTAAAGCTGGGCAGGAGATGTTTTTTCAGATTCAAGATTTTTTTTTTTCTGAGAGTTCAAAACTGTTCTTGACCCTCACTGGGTTCAACTAAGACTGTCAAAGCTTTTTTGCGCAGAGAAACTCCATGACTTACCAGAGGAGCCAATAATGTCCAGGGTGAGCACGCACATGGCTTGTAACAAAGTACAGGATTCAGTCTGGGGCACTGAACTGCAGCTTTTTCATATTCAAGATGACTTCCCTGAACACCAACTTATTTTACTGTGTTTTTGCAAATGCCTCCATGTCACATCTCGCCAACTCTGTATCAATAATTAAACATACACTGCTACAGTGACTGATGTATGGTTCCCTACTTTCTAGATGAATGCCCCAACTACATGGCTATAGAATCAGTCTCCCTTGCTTTATTTGGCTTGGTGACTGTTTAATTATTTATACAAAATGAAATGTCTTTAGAAGCCTGTGAGTATTCAATATCTTTAAGACAAAAAGTATTTTAAGAGCTGCTGGTCGGCAACTTCCCTTGGGCCGAGCATAGTTCAAAGCTCTCTTCCCTCTCTTTCATAAGATAACTTCTTATGAAAGGTGGAGCATCTCCATAAAGTGACTGTGTGATCTTTGTAGGAATTATAGAATCATAGAATACCATGTTGGAAGGGGCCTCAAAGAACATTTAGTCCCACCTTTCTTGGTAAAAGCATGGTCTAGACAAGACAGCCCAGCACCCTGTCCAGCTGAATCTTAAAAGTGTCCAGTGTTGGAGAATCCACCACTTCCCTGGGGAGATGATTCCAATGGCTGATAGTTCTCATTTTGAAAAAGGAACTCTGTATTCATACTTTAATAAAAAAAAACCTTAATCTCTCTGTGCAATGTTGTCCTACTTTTACGTCAGTTCAGGATGAGATTTAAATTCTAAGAAAGGTTTGCAAGCTCTTAATGTCTTCTGCTCTCCATTTTTGGTACCAAACAGCTCTGTTTTCTGCACCCTGTCAGCTCTGACCTTAGCCTTGGTATGGCAAAAGAAGTTTCAAGCTCCTGCTCTGAACAAAGTAAACATTAGCAAGGACTTATGACTGGATGTCTCATCATGTAACTATTAAACTCCACGAGGATGAGGATTTCTCTTTGTAAATTTGATCAGAACTGCTATTCTTATCCAGATTTTAGTATATGTCCATTAGAATAGTGGTTTTTAACCTGAGGCTAAGCACACTGTAAAAAGCAACTAGAAAAGCAAACCCTCGACCACATAGCAATCCGTGTCTTTACTAAAAAATGTATAAAGCTCTGCAAACCTAAGGTTTAAAACTAGTTCATGCAGATCTTAAAGAAAGTAGAGTACAACTCATCCTTCAATAAGAGCTAATATCATTAAAAGTATATCCATTTTAAATGAGTGCAAACACATTTTCTTTTATAATTATATATAAAAGAGACAAATGACAAAAGAAAAAAAAAAAATCAAAGGATGAAAAAAGATTAAAAAAATCAAAGGATGGTATGCCTGCAGAGTTTCAAAGCCAAACAATTATCATTTTTGGATTTCCCTGTTAGATGCTGAAATTAGGAGTACTGTGTGGAAAGGCTGCCAAGTCCTTATCACTGGGAAATTAGCAGTAAAGTCTTATAGCCTTTAATAGGAACATTATAGTGTAGATTTTAAGCCAACTTTTCCATATTAGGAATGTAAACTTACTAAGTTGCAATGGAGAGAGAGATTTCAAAAATGTACTTCAGGATCATTCTCTATTGCATTTTAGACAGTTATGAGAGTAATTTCTAAAGGCCTCAGTTTTATTCTTACCTTTTCTTAAATTAGCTTGAAACTTTTCATACAGGAATACTGTGTAAGCACTACACTTAGAGTTGAAAATCATCTCCACCCTGTGCTATGATAAATGCTGTCTTTCTACTTTTATGCTCATTATGGACGATACTTTAATTCTAGAGAGCTTAAGGTTTGTCAGCTCTTTATGTGCAACTGTCTTCTCCTCTCCATCTTGAGCACAAAGCAGTTGTGGTTTCTGCACCCTGTCAGATGTAACCTTAGTGCTAATTTGGGAAAAGCAGTTCTCACATTTAGTGCTGAAAGACTGATAACTGAATCCACAAAGAAATGACACATTTTCAGCGATGAAGTACAGGGGCTGTGGACAATGGCTGTGCTTTCCCACTGCATAAATCCTCCTGACTCAGCTGTCATTGTGCAAATCTACTGCACAAAAGCAGATTTTGCTTGCATGATTGGACTTTATGTCATCATGAATATCATAACAAAAGTGGGTGTTATGTTATCTTTAACATATTATTACTCTGCCAGGTACCAAGATAGATGGCTATGTCTGTAGCCCTTCTACTTTACTGTCTCCTGAAGTCCAGAAATCTTATCTATTATTATAATAAAAAAAACCAATGAACAATATTTCTGGGTTACTGGGCAAGCATGGACTGTAGAACTGAAATGTGATAGACCTGAATCTGTCCTCACAGTAGTCCACATGAACTGTGACAAAACTAAATTTAACAGGACAGAGATCAGATTCATACAACTCATCATATATACTTTTTTCAGATACAAATATCCAATGCATATATTATATAGAGAGTTGTTTATCCAAGCTGAAATAGCATTTTTTGGTTTTGATTTGGGTTGGTTTTGTTTCAGGTTGGTTTTATTATGGATTGCATATACAGCTAATACGATAACAGGTATGATAGAAGTTCCTGACTGTAGCTAGTAAGAAACTGTGTTGTTAAAACATAGTTTGCTCTTACACATTAAAAATTTGCATGAACAGTTTGCACTAAATTGCAAAACCACATAAGAAAACCTGGACCTCAGCACAGACATAAATAATGTGGCTAGGACTGAAAAATGTCTAAGAACAAAATACTTCATGAATTCAGAAACAGAAGTGCAGATGCAAGCAGTGTGAACAGTAAAAGTGGCTAGTCAACTCTTCAAAAATTAAAATATAAATTAACTCAGAGTAACTACAGTTAGCATTACTGGCTCACTTAAATAAAATGTCAGCTTTTTCAAATGATTAATTCTCATTTCCAAAATGCTCATATCCTTGTATAGCTAAAGCCAAGTGTAATTCCATTTAAGTTATTGGAATTCTTACTTCAGTAGAACTTGAGTAGAGTACTCAGATACATTTTACAGTATTTTGGCACATGAAGACAAAACCAGATTTTCTTTGAAATTGTCCCTCTCTCCCCAGACACACAAACAACTAACTACAGGCCTGATTAGTAATATCTATACAACAATGTAAGCTATTGTGCCTTGTTAAACTATTGAATATTTTGAAACCCAAGTTTGGAATACCCAGGACTCCTTTCACTTTTTCCAAACTATCGACAATTCTGGCCTGCTCAGAAAGCTCTGCTGATTCACTTTCTGCTGGACTTTGGTGGCCACTGTCAGATTCCTTTCAATCCAACTAAAAATTAGAGCATGTACTAGGCACAGTCCTGCCCAAGGCTCTGTAGCTACTTTGTGTTGACGTGTGGCTGATGCCTCCACAAACCTTGAGCTTCTATCCAACTTGCAACCTACAGCACTCTGCTCCTGTGGCACGACTGCATTAGCCATAGAATCTGTATCTGTTTTAAATTTAATCACACTCTACAAAACTCAATGTAATTAAACCAAAAATGCTCCTTTATAAATCACGTCAGATTAGTTTAACTGGTTTAAGAGAAAATTCTGCTTCAAATAAAAGAGGGGTGTATATGTCACAGATGTTGCTGGAACGAAGCTGTGTGCTAGTCTTTAACGGCTAGATGAATGTAACTGGGTAAATGTACATTTTACATACCATTTAGCCACCGGGAGTCATGCTGCTCTGTTCTGATTGGGTGATGATGCCCCAGAGTTCGGAAAATGGCAAAGTCCCTGCCCATGAAGTCTGCCGCTGTGCCAGAGTACAGTTCTCCATCTGTGGGAGGAAATAATTGTAAGCAACATCTCTCAATTTTCCAGTCATGGTAAGTCAGAGAAAGCTGTCAGTCCTATGTTTATATTACGCTAATAGGGATAATGAGAAAATTACAAAGCAATAAGCCATATGCAACATACTGTCATTGAAAATATATAATTAGACCCACTTTCTCACTGCAGAGCTTAACTGTAACCTCTCTCAAATGAGCTGTATCTCCTGACTGCTAGTGCAGCCACTTTTCAAAAATATGTTTGGGTTTTTCAGCTGGAACAGTGACAGATTGTACACCTAACCCTGGTAGGCAGTAGTATGCAGCCCAAAACCACCTACCTGTGAATTTACTATGTTTTGAACAGGAGTTTGGACTGAAGACCTCCAAAGGCTCCTCCCAACCTATTGGGGTTTTGGGACTCAGTGTTGGAAACTGAAGAGTCCAGTTCATTCACTCTCGGTTCAGAAAGTCATTAAGTCCCTTGAATTTTTCATATAGAAACTGTCTTTTGGTTTTGTTTTGCTTTTTTTTTCCTCCTCCTCCTCCTTTTTTTTCTAAGCAAGTAAATTCTCTGAAAACAGTATCTTCTACAAGAAAGACAGAGCATGCCTTTCTCCTGCTGCCACCTTTGTAACTGTGATACTGGCAAAGGGCAACAGCTAAGGGAGAGAATAAATGAGATCATTCCCTGTTACCTTGACCTGATGCATATCACAGTGAACAAGTGAATTAAAAGTTGAACTGTGATACTTCAGCCCATAAATGCCACATATATACCCTAGCTTGAGAAGAAACTCATAATATTAGAGTCCCAGTGTGCCTCTCCTCAGTCAGCTAGAAGTATCGTGGAAGAGACAGAAAGAGACAGTCTAAATTCAAAGGACCAGGTCAAGTTAAATACCTGCCAACTGGTAAAGAGACACACAGAAAACAAACAGAGATCAAAGAACAACACGTATCTTTCTGGCATTAATGCAGAGCTTGTCCATGAAATTATTCTGAAATCAAATTTGCTAAAAATGCATTTTTAAGGACTTGTTCCCTTTTATACCCATATATGAAATGAGATACTCTACCCTATACTTTTAATATGGAATTAAAAAGTATTATTCTTTCCAACTGCTATTTCCAGGCTACCCATTTTAAATGGGTCTTCTATGAAAAAGACAGTTTGAAACAAAATAACTCCTTCTTTAAGCTAAGGTTATAAATTTTTCATGGTCGTGATAAACTCTACCATATCCTCATTTTAAAACACCCTTTCGGAACAAGTTCATAATTTTCATGGCAATTTTAGATATTTCCATGGTGGGACAACCATGTCCAAGCATGGCTACTGGATATCACTGCCATCTTTTCCCGAGAACACTGACACCATTAAATTACCAATTGAACCTACGGTGGCTCTGTACCATATGGTAGTCATGAAAGTCAGGAAGGGTGAAAACATGATAGCGGAAAGGCGTGGAATTGAATGAATTCACAGCAGAGATTAGACGCAAATAGACCAGTCATGCCCAGCAGGAGGTGTAATCAGAAGTGAAACAGAACAGCATATCATTAATTAACAATTTATCATCCCTCTATGTCATTTTGAACTTTTTTTAAAGGGGAGACAATCACTTAATTATAGTGATTATTATGTACAGGGCATGCAGCTGAGATTTTAAACAACACAAAATCTTTTTGCTTGTGAAACAGGCTTTGATGCTGTGCTTAACCTTTCTTTAACCTTATCTTCATTTTCTTGTCTTTCAGTCCCTAGTGAGTTCTGATAAATCAATATAAATTAAAGGGGGGAAAGAAAAAAAAAAAAAGCAAGCCCTATTTTGCTTCCTAGTTATCTAAAGGTCAGTCAAGAAAGAAATAATAAAAAAATAATTTATATTTAATACTATATTATTAAAATGAAAACAAATACAGCTCAAAAACTCATTAAAATTATATACTTCCAATATTTAGATTTCTAAGGGGTTTTGGTACCTAAGCTTCTAACTCAATATATAGACACCACTGGAAGTAACGTATCTTCCAGGTCTGACTTAATTCAACTCAAGATTATTTCATGCTACTAGGCTTTTGTGGCTGGTACTTTTTTGTCAGGGGTGATATGTAAAAGTTTTGCCAAAAATGGGTTTCAGCCTGTTCCAAAGTAGAGAGAGTCTATACAAAACTAGCTGACCTTTCTTTGCTTTCTACTACATCCCCTCCAAGTTTCAGTATACCTAGACCAGTGCCCGCAGTTTGAACTGAATTGCTGTAGTCACGCAAATTTTTGGCTTCTCCCAGATAGAAATACCAAAGAATACAATTTATTTATGTAAGGCTTTAGATGATAATTTTTGCTAAATTCAGGATGACCCTCGAGTCACATCCCAGATGTGCACAACCTTTGGGTTATTACTATTCAAAAGCTATATGATGATTTTGCCTCCTGTCTAGATAGAAGTACATTCATCTTCATTTGCCTATGTACACCTTCTTTTGGACTGAAATTTACTATTGCTGGTACTCTTTTATGTCATGGATAGTCTTCACTGTGCTATTTCCATTGTCAGTAGTTTTAAAAGCAATTCCATTAACTTCAGGAGGAAAGTGGAAATGAATAGTTTGAAAACCGACCAACTTTTCTCAAGGGGAAAGAATAAAGAAAAAAAAAAAAAAAAAAGTTGTCACTTTGTATTTCCAGCCCAGCAGCATAAAGCAAAAAATGTCCAGAACAAGCTGATGGCCCTCAACTGTTTGCATAAAAAAACCCCTATGTTTTGGACACAAATCACTTTATCCTTAAGGACTAGCATGTTGACATATGAATGCAAACTTTAATACACTTACTGACTTTACAAAAGAGGCAACAATTAAAGCCCATAATAATGCTTTTTTGGGAGGAGGATCTATTTTCTCACATACTGTACATAAGTAGCATGAAACTGTGAACGCCTCCCCAAGTTCATTAGATATCAAGATGTTAAAAATTAAGTAGTTGACATTTATTTGCTTAATTGTTTTTATTCAGCTTTTCAAGAAGACTGCATTCTTTTTAAAAAAAAATATATCTATATATATCTCTCTCTATATATAGATATAGATATATTTCTTGAGAGTACAGAAGTGTAAGCTTCTGGATAATCCCAAACATAAATACAGGCTGGGCAATGAATGGCTTGAGACCAGCTCTGAAGAGAAAGACTTGGGGGGGTGGGGGACGAGAAGTTCAACATGAGCCGGCAATGTGCGCTTGCAGCCCCGAAGGACCATAACCATATCCTGGGCTGCATCAAGAGAAGTGTGGCCAGCAGGTCGAGGGAGGTGATTCTGCCCCTGTACTCTGCTCTTGTAAGGCCCCACCTGGAGTCCTGTGTCCACTTCTGGAGCCCCCACAACAAGAAATACATGGAGCAGTTAGAACGAGTCCAGAGGAGGCCACCAGGATGATGTGAGGGCTGGAGCACCTCTCCTATGAGGACAGGCTGAGAGTTGGGGCTGTTCAGCCTGGGGAAAGAAGGCTTTGGGGAGACATTATAGCTGCCTTCCAGTACCTGAAGAGGGCCTATAAGAAAGCTGGGGAGGGACTCTTTATTAAGGCAGGTAGTGATAGAACAAGGGGTAATGGCTTCAGACTGGAAGAGGGTAGGTTTAGATTAGATATTAGGAAGAAATTCTTTCCTGTGAGGGTGGTGAGACACTGGAATAGGTTGCCCAAGGAAGTTGTGGATGCATCCTCCTTGGAAGTGTTCAAGTCCAGGTTGGATGAGGCATTGAGCAACCTGATCTAGTGGAAGGTGTCTCTCTGTATGGCAGGGGGGTTGGAACTAAATGATCTTTAAGGTCCCTTCCAACCCAAACCATTCTGTGATTCTATAACTAGAGAAAATTGAATGGATGGGGAATATAGGCAAAAACAAGCCTTGAATGTCTTGATTGCTCTCACTGGTAAAAGCGCTTCCAAACAAAATTTGCTATCCTTGGTTAGTAGGTTTATTCACTAACATTAAGATTTTCAGATGTACATAATAGTGGATTGACTTCATTTCTTTTAATGTCAACAAGCAAAGCTTCAGAGAAAGTAGAATACACTCTAAAATCCTGAATCTCACATGTATTTAGTAGTTAATATCTAATAAACAGGATAGTAAAGTTTTTCCTTGGTGAGAAGCTACTGTATTTCAGATCACATTGATCCGTATTTGGGAGTATTAAGGCACCTAAACTGATTTAAAAATTAATAATTTTGAAAAATTGTAAACTTAAAAAAAAAATAATTAAAAACATCAGTGATACACAGGAACATAAATAGCTCTGAGGATTTTGGATCATCAGAGCTTTTGAAAATCCCAAAGCATCATTTCATAAAGAGCAACTGATTGACAATGAGACAATGCTGTCTCCTTCTCTGAGATTTTTTAACTATCCCAAGACAACTGCTTTAGAGTAACACATTCAGTGATAATTTTCTCCTGTGATTACATTATTTGAAAACCTTGCTGCCTTTCATTTTTGTCCTGCTCTAAAATACACACTTGTGGTGCCCAGGGATTGCTTAGTCTCTAAATTTTCATGCACTAGCCTGCTCAAATGGAGATTGTTTAGTTAGCAGCACATAGACAGGAATGGCTGAATGTCTTACATTACTAGGAACTAGTTATATCATGTTCCCAGCTGGTGTTTACTTTTCAGTAGAGAAGCAATAACTACCTTTAATGAACAACTCTTAAAAAAATAATGAAAAATGTTTGCAGGTGGATGGAACAAGGAATGTATACTGGAAAAATATTGGAACAATTTAATAATGATGAACTGTTTGCTTTGGGTTTTGGTGGGGGTTTTTTTGTTTGGTTGTTGGTTGTTTTTTTTATTTTCCAAATATTCTTGGTGGTTCTTTAGGAGGGAGGGAAAACTGAAGATCCTTTTTACACCTCTAAGTGTTTCTTTCAGCTGAAATACTAAATAAGAATCCTTTAATAGCACTAATGACTATTGAAGATCTTAAGTTACTTTTTGCAAATTAGCCTTTGTGTTTTGCCCAAATTCCAGCTTGGGTAATTACATTTCACTTACCTTAGATTTACCTTCTAGTTACAGAGTCAAGAACATACTATTCTTCCACACTTTGTAAAACCTCTGTTTAGTGTTTCTGACAAAGAACAGAGGTTATTTTCCCCTCTCATATTTAACCATATAAATTACTCTTAGTTCTCAGACTTCTTTTATCTTCCTGATAGTTACATTGTGTTGCTAATTATAACATTGCATTTTAATGAGTACTGGGTAATTGTTTTACACAGTTGCCCTCTTGAACCTAAGGTAAACCATGGTTACTCGTGAAGACAAAACAGGCCTAGTGTAGCTGAGCTATCATTCAGCTCAGGAGAAGGGAAGAAGCAGTCCATCCACATTCTTCGTGGTGTGAAGCATTTGTGGTCAAGAGGCTTCTCTGGTCTTCACAGACCTATTCACTGCTTCGTCCCAGTGCTACCGACTTCAGAGAGCAGTTGAATCAAAGCTCTCCATGCAGTCATTTCTTGGCCGATTCATCCCCTATTCCCCACTTATTTTGGGGGGAGGAAAATATTTTGCCTTGGGTCATCACTTTCCCATAAAATTTATGGTTTTTTGGCAATGATAACAGAAAGTCATCGTGAACCAGTGGTGAATCTGCTGTACACTTTCTGAAATCTCAGGGGAACCTCTGCAGTAAAGGATTGAAGTAAACACAACTTTATAATCAGTAACACAATATGACTATGAGGTAGCTATGAGGAGGCAAACAAGAGTGTTCAGGTTCAGGATACAGGAATACTAATTTTAGCTTCACTCTGAGTTTTGTATAAGTCACTGAAGTAGAAATTAGTCACTGGCTTTGAATATTGAATTTGCTCCATTTTCCATAGTGCTAATACACCCATGGCTCTAACTGAAGCCTGATTCAAAACAAAATATCATGCTCAGTCTGCTGTTTATTAGGAGAAAAAAATACATAGAGTGAAAATTATTGTGACAGGGAGTGGGCTCAAGAAAGCAAAGATGTTTTAAAGACATGAAATCTAAGCCAAGGGAAATAAGATAATCATATTTGTGCCGGACTGAGTGAAAAAAAAGGAATGTGAAAAGCTAGACGCTGTTGACTTTGTGCAGTTGCATACCGGGTATACCATGTAATACTGGCTTGTCATCATTCTCTTTCTTTATTGTATATTAAAGTAAATAGTAAAGTCATTCCCTTGAGAGTAGCTCTGCCACAAATTCAAGTTGCTCCAGGCACTAATTTATGCACTGGCCTTTACACACACTTTTTTTTTTCTCCTTTCTGTTTGTACAGGGTACAAGTTGGAGCAAGATGTGGACGTCTTTCTTGTTTTTCCCATTAAAAAGTGCATGTCCCCAGGGTAGCTCATCACCTGTGATCATTAGGGGCTTCGAAGATCAGGAAATGAGGCACACTCAAGACTAAATTTTTGTTGCTGCCTATTTTGAATAGCTTCATTTTTAAATGTAATATAAATATAACACGAGTAGGTGGTAGGCAAGACCCTAGACTAGCAATACGGACAAAGTCCCGGAGAAGATAGTGTATCTGATTATATGTCATTTCACAAAGACTTCTGAGATAAAAGAATCTGTAATTTTCTGAAACTATTGCTGTCCTTTGGATTTGAAGTTGTAATAACTTGCCAGAAATTTACATATTAAGGATAAAGTGGCTACACCTGGGCAGAGTTGTTACTGAAAGAAGAACCTAATTTATTTCACTCTTAATTTCTTCTTACAAAACATCTTTCACCTTTTTCATAAGGGACAAGGAAGAACAATGAACACAATTAATACAATTAGAGAAGTTAAATCAATTAGATAAATTCAATCAACTGGATTAGTTAAATTAGATTAACACTATCCAGGTGCTCTATATTTACATTTTCCATACAATTAGGTATTACTAATTCAAAAATACTTAATTTCTTGAAATCTCTCTGTTCTGGTCAGGAGTTTAATTGTATTCACTGTCTGACAGATCTCTTCAGCTGAAACATCATCTCAATGCCTAGATCTGTGAACACTTGTGTATCTCCAGCTCACACACATGTACTATTGGGTGATAGATCTTCCTTGGCAGCAAAACTGATCTAAGAATTTATTTATTACTGCTCTCACTTTGTTCTCAGCTGTGCTAGTGCAACAGTCAATGAGGCCAACCTGTAAATGGGGTGATTAAAATACCTCCAGAGTCCTCTGGCTCTGGAGAGGAGAACCAATTTGCAGAATCAAGGTCTTACAGAGGTATAAATTCTTGGTATACACACACTTTGTTTCTCAAGACACCTGAGCCAACTGTATTAAAAATGAAAGCAGAATGACTTTAGCCTGCAAATAAAATATATAAAACAAATCCCTATCATAGCTGCTGCAAGGAGAAAAAAAACAGAAAACTGGAAATTACTTACAGTGAATGCATGTCTCATTGAACTTGTATTGTGACACCTACCTACTAAAAGAGAAGCTGTCAGCAGTTTAGGATCATATGGACTTTTCCCTCGGCCATTTTCAAAATGTGAATCTTCCATTCTAAAAATGTTATCCTGTAGGTTGGAAAGAAAGGAAAGAAAAAAACAATATTAGTCAATGAAAAAAACTACTAAAAATAAGTTGAACTGAGCAGAGTGCAGTATATGTGACTCATACTAGGTTTTGTGGCTTCAGGAAAGTCAATTACAGTAGGTGAGGATCTGACAAAAGTGTTCACCTAATCAGTATTGTGCTGAAGGCTAGTTAAGAGCACCAACACACATGCACAGCTTGTGTCTCATCTATTCTACTTCAGATATAATTTGAATTGTTTCTCCTTTCACTGAGAATATGTCTGAGTAATAGTACCTGAAGAAGCTAGAATTTGAAAATTTTGTCTGAAAAAAAAAAACCAAACCCCATTTTTCATTGACTATACTTTTCTGAAGTAACATGGAAGTATAGATTAGTGCATAATACAATGCTAAATTCTGCTTTTCCTAACTTGAGTATTTAGTGACTTTTTCATGCACCCTCAAATCCAATTTTAACTGCATCAGGAGAGCTTTACTTTTATTTTTCAGTACTATGCAACAAAACTTTTAAAATATACAGGCGGAGGGCAAAGCACATGGGGTTATAAACTAAGATTAAAAAGGGCCCCAGTCAACACTAACTCAAATCAAGGTCAGTAAATCCAAAGCAATGGGCTTTTCAGTACATTTAATTACTTTAATTTTAACTAGGGGAAAAAATCTGCCAATCAATTTGAATACTGTGTTTGTCTTACGTTTTGCACTGAGAGTAAAAGCAGAAGAATAGATGCTTTTTGCACAGTAGACTTCTACATTGACAGAAAAGTTGTGGAGGCCACACTGAAAACTTAAATTTCCATTTCTTACCTGCACTGTGGTTAATTTGCATTGACACCTGATTAAGTCAAGGAGCCCCAAAGCTGCGATGACTCCTACCCCCAGCAGTTTCTCTATTTACTTAGGTCTTTGCACCTAGTTGTTACTTCTACCTAAAAATTTTTTATGAGGTAGTTGCTGAAGAACTTCCTTTAACCAATATTTGCAGCACCAAGTAGCTCAGGCTGTAATAAGAACTACAGCTTGATACAGCCTCTTTTTTTTCTTACTGAATAATTAAAGATCAGTCATCTGTTTTAAGAAAATATAAAAAAAATAAGTATCAGAATATATGTCTAAAATATGTGTTGATAGTAGAAAGCAAGAGGATGTTCTAAGAAGATGCTATAATATTTTCCCCTATTTATTTCATAACAGATCAGCTCTTAACCTTGATTCTCAAACACTTACTGCTTCCACTCAGTATCTCAAGCCCCCCTTTCTTATTCTTATCATCCCTTTCCAAATACAGAATCATAGTGCTGCTGACTGGAAGGGCTCTCTAGATAGCATTAGGTCCAGGAGGACTTGAAAGAAGCCTATTGTCAACACAGGGTACAATCAGTTTTGGTTTTGTCTTGCCAAGTCACGAAAACCTTCAGGAATGGAAATTTTATAACCTTCCTGGACAACTTCCATTGCCCTCTTAGTGAAGAATTTTTTATTTTTTTTTTCTAAATTGAACCTTCCAAAGAATAACTTGTGACTTTTTGTCCTTATTATATCATCTGCAATGATAGCAAAGATGCAAACAGATGGCAAAAGCATCCATCATAATTACCCTTCCAGCAGTTATAGGTTGTTCCTAAGCAGCCTGTTCACTTCTCCAGACTAAGTCTCAGGCTAGAACTTCATGAAAAATTAGCTAACATGTAAACTCCAGAGTCTTACATTGTCCTCTGCCCACAAATAAAAGTCTCAAAATTGCACACAATGCTTTCACCCTCAAGAGTAATGCTCCACTGCTCAGTGCTGGATACTTGGCAGTCCACAATGCTATGGAGGATGAAAAAAATATCGGCCACTCAAATTTTATTCGGCAATTGCTTTGGTAATGTTTTTTTAATGTGAAGATCATTCAGGCAAATATCTGATGTCTTTCTCACGAGCAGTGAATTCAAGTATTTGGAAGCAGCGCTCTCCCTGGCACCCTGCCTTCCCTATGTTGCTCGTCCATACTTGAATCCAGGCATGGGCCAGGCCAGTGACCAAACATACTTACAAATGGTATTATTTTAAACCTATTGAGTCCATGTTTTTGTAAGTGGGTCACAGGCTATAGTTTTTATTGCAGGCTTGTTTAATTACATCATGCAAGCATATATCTCTGTGTATGTATTACATATTTTCAAAGGAACATCAGAGGGACTTCACATTTCACTCCATTTACTGGAGAAAAAGGTGAAGGGAAAATGGACTGTTAGCAGAATGGTCTATTTGGAAGGGCTTACTGCACTATAAGATAAAAAGTTTGGACACAACTTTGTGAAGTTTGATCCCAGAATTCAAGCTCAGTCTCTTAAGGCATGTTCTTGTAGATGTAGCCTGCCTGATTATGTTTATACAGTCATCTTGTATCTGTAATATCTTGCACAGTATTAAATTTCTTTCTTTCCCTTTGTCTTTCTTTCTATTTCTCAATAGTCTAGACACATTCTTTGCTTCTGTCCAATTTTCTGACTTGCTTCTAAACAGAAATGAATAAATAATGAAAAAGAAAACTGTTTTTGAAATTCTGCTGTAGGGTCCATATCTAGATCTTGCACAATAAATAAAAGTGGTAAATTGAGGAGAGTGCTAGACCTCAACTACAATAATAGAAAATGGCACTAATGCTAAAAGCCATTATTGAAAAATGTTATTATCAATCTACATTTTCTTGGGATTTCTTCTTAGTAGATGATAATTGCTCAACCTGCACACCAATGGATATTTGATAAGGCTATAAAGTCAGTGGCATGACAGTTAAAGCAGAATATATTCCCAAGATAATCCCATGTGTCACTATAAAATAAATAGGAAACAGATGTGGAAAGTGATTTGGTGTAGGAAGGATCTGATTTTTTACTGTATTCTTCTGGTTTATGTCACTGTAACTCTACTGACGTTGGTGTGTAGCAAGCAAGAAAAAGTGGAGAACTGGGTCAGCATAAGTCAGAGATGATCTACCCTTCTCTTTGTGTTTGTGGAATAAAACATTTGAAATAAAAGCTATGACAGGGAAATCCCACAGTGTTTTCAAATTTCAGTTAAAATGCAACGTAGAGACATGTACTATAAGTTTCCAAATGTATGGGCAAGTAATAATGACAATAAATACATCACTGTTAAGTGCCAAATAAATGCATCATGGTTACCCTGAGGCCCCAAGAAGTTTTTATAAACATGCTATAGGAAGTCTAACCTGTCACAAACAGGGCAACTTGCCCAAATAGCTTTTTGGGTGCTGAAGTCAAACTACCTCTATCTACAAACCAAGAAGAAATACAGGCAAAGGAATAAACTCTTTTCTATGTACTTCCCCGCTCCCATTTTAAAAGCCTAGAAAGCAATATGACTAATGATAGGTACTTAATGCTCCTGGTGTTGTAAGTCCTGTCCACCTAAATTACACCTAAAAACCCATGTGGAGGCAGCAGAAAAAGTGAAGGCAGCTCCCGGGTAATGACTAAGGGCTAAAATCAGTCTGCCTGGAGCTAGCAAAGACCAAGGCTCTGCTCAGAGGCTTAGGGGCCTTTGAACTGTGAGAATGTGGCCTTCTCTTGCAGAGTACAGCCAAGAGCTTTACCTGGAAAAAATGCCCATTATCTGTTCTCAGAAAAAAATTCTGATCAGTTGATGATTTTGCTGCTTCTTGGATTTTACAGTTAATTGAATGCAAAGAATGATACTGCAGTGAGTCAGCAAATAACTTAGCTGTAAACAGTAAGAAAAACTGTGTATTCACCAAATGCTCACTGTTTCAAAGTTTTGTGAGAGTTATTATATCATCCAATACAGGAATTCTTAGCAAAGCAAGCTGCCAGGATGGAGGAAATTATCTAGAAATGCAAAAAGGAAAAAAAAAATATTCAAATAAAGGACTTTTTGTAACTCAATGAGTACAATTTATTGTCCAAAACAATTTAGCTGCACTGGCAGCCCAAAAGGACATTACAATGTACTTCAAACCTTTCTAAAGATCCTTGTGACTAAAAAAACTTGCTGTAGCATCTTTTATTTAGTTGTTGCTGGGTTATTAAACTCTAGGTTTACACCTCATTGATGCTTCTCTATAATTCATAACAAAACTACTGAAAATGAGAGATTTTTAAGGTCTTGAAATTCCACAAACCCATAATGACAGCAGCTGACTGCAAGCTGAAGTTACAGTCACACGACTGCTGTCTCATGGCTCATTATGTATTGTTTCACTTAGTAAATGTGGGATTGAGTGCACCCTCAGCAAGTTTGCCGACGACACCAAGCTGAGTGGTGCGGTTGACACACTGGAGGGACAGGATGCCATCCAGAGGGACCTTGACAGGCTTGAGAGGTAGGCCTGTGCCTTCAACAAGGCCAAATGCTAATCCTAAGTACAAATACAGGCTGGGTAATGAATGGC